TTTAATACCTTTTCAGTGTTATTTCAAGAACATCTTTTCAAATACCACTTGCCAGGCTGAACTGGTGAGTGTTTGGTGCCCTCACTGACCGTAACATGCTTTTCCTTGCCAAGAAACTGTTTCCAAAGAGCGCTGTGGGCTTCTGAGTTTAATTATATATGTGTACATATATATATATATATATATATATATGCATGTGTGTAGAAAAAGATCTGGTTGTGATAAGATCCTGCTTGTGAGCTTGTGGCTGTGAGCCTGCCTGGTGGGTTCGATACAAACACGTTTTCCCCTGAGAAGAGTTTGATGCTTATTTTACACTTTACTGCCAAAGGGCTGGTGCTCATTTTGGGGCCGGGCTGGGACCAAGGGCAGGATCCGGCCCTGGGGGAGACCGATGCTCCACGCTGGGCTCTCGAGGATGCCAGCATCGCCCCAGGTTTTGGCAGCAGGCGGGAGCCAAGCAAGGCAGGGGGAAGCAGGAGGGAGTGGGAAACCCAGCGGAGGAGGAAAAATTAGGCTGGAAAAGCAATAAATGAGGTGCAAAGGGAATTGCACTGCCCACGGCATCCTCCGTACGCCCCGGGGTTAGAGCATGGCTGCTCCAATCCCACTGTAATCCAGCACATTCCCCTCAGCTAAATTATGGCATTTAATGCGCCGAACATCCGGTGGTTTTCTGTCCAGCAGCAGAATCTCTTGTTTTTCTTCAAATATGTTTATTTGGCCAAACTAGCTCATTCTGCTGCAGCGGAAAGGGCTGTTATCCTGCTCGTTCTCTGCTGCAGAGGTTTTCATGCTGTTTTTGGTGCCCTCTGCCCTGTGTCAGGTTGGGTCGGCCGCCCTCGCTTCCCGCTGCTGCCGCCTCCTGCAGTGGCTGGGCCTTGGCCAGGGTGCAAATGCTTCCTACAGGAGTGTCCCATGGCGGGGACCAGGCAGCTGGTGCCTCAGTTTCCCCACCATGGGGTGGGGATAAGAACCCTTCCCCACTGGAAGTATCCCACAGCCTCAGCATCCCCATCTCCCTAGGGCCGGTCATCCGAGCATTTCCCCGAAAGCAGAGTCCAGCCCCTGCCAAGCCAAATTCCTGCTTGGCCTCTTGGCATGGAGCATGGCCACAGAGGGTAAAAACACAATGAGACAAACCCCATCCTAGTTAATATTTCCTCTGCAGGATGGAAAACAAAGTGGGAGGCAGCACAGTGGGAAGGAAAGCAAACTGGGGGCCAGTTTGTGTTCCAGGGGTGGCTTTGGGCAGACCAGATGGGAGCTGGGGGTCTCTGGAGGGGCAGCTGGAGCCCAGCCTGGCTCGGAAAGAGGGGTGGCAATGGTGAAGGGCTGTGGCAGCACCCTATGAGCCCAGGGAAGGGACCCCTGCGGGCATCGTGACACCCACCCAGCATCCCCAGGGACAGTCCAGCCAGACCTGCTCCAAACCCACCCCCCCATCCACCTGCCCCCGCTGCAAGGGTGGGTGTGGGGGTGCTGTGAGAGCAGCACCCCAAAACTAGCTTCTTTAGTGGAAATGTGCCCAGAAATGTGCCGGGGGCTCCTCATCCCATAGGATCAGCCCCATCGTGGACCCAGGCATCAGGGCAGGGGACACACACAAGTCCCAGCCCAGGGAACCCTCTGGGGACCTTGGAGCCTTTGGTCACGGTGGGTGTCTGCACCGGGATGGCAAAACACAGAGCAGTGGCACTGGTGGGGTGTCCCCTGGTCCCTGTCCCCATCCCCATTGCACAAAGGGAGCTGCCGTTTCCC